GTTAGGGTGACTGGGGTGTATTTGGGAGTAAAACGGGAGGTGAGGCTAGAGGAGCCGCCTTCCTGCCCAGAAGAGATTGGGAACGACCACGTTCTGCAGGGAAGGATGCAGGGACCAGGCCAAAAGGGTCCCTCACAAAGTAGGGCCTGACTGGAAACCCGGGGCCCCCAACATAGCAGGCCTGGTGGGGAGCAGGGTTAGCAGGTCAGACATTCCCGTCAGACGGAGAAATCAGAGGCAAAATCGCCTGCACCAAGACCTACGTCCGGCCCACCACGACGGGGCCACACGCAATGCTGAGATCCACGTCCGGCCCATCACGACGGGGCCACACGCAATGCTGAGATCCATGTCCGGCCCACCACGATGGGGCCACCCAATGGCTACAGAAAGGAACTCTGCTCTCATGGCAATGACCAGCACTTGTTACCTGACACCTGGGGGAACTGACAACCCCACACACAACCACGAGTCACCAACTGGCCACGGGTCTCCAGGTGAGCGTGACGTGCACATGTGGATCTGGAGGAGAACCGCTGGCACAGTCTCGAGAAGGGGGGGTGTGGACGGCTTATCTGTTTCGTCGGGGGGACGTGTCAACTGCCCGCGTGAAGAGCACAAGCGGGGAAAGAGGGTCAGAGATGATGGTATTGGCTGAGCAAGTCCTGTCACTGCTGTTCTTGAGTCTTCCCTAAATGGGCGCTAGCTGTTGTCTAATAATTGACTGATGTGATGTACATTAATTTCTGTCGGTTAAACCAAGCTTCCGTTCCTGGGATGAGTCTCATTTGGTGATGGTATAGAACCCTTTTGTACATTGCTGGATTTGATCTGCTCTAATTTGTTGAGGATCTCTGCAGCTATCTTTAGAAGATATTTGTCTAATTTCCCGCTGATTTGTTAATCCGAGTAATACCGACCTCAGGGACCGAGGAGGAGTTTGTGAAGCGAGATCAGTTCTCCTTTAAATGTCTGGTAGGGGTTGCCATAAGGTCACCTCATCCTGGGATTTTCTTTGTGAACATTTGTTATTATTTATTACAATTTAATCTCTTTACTTTTATACAACTATTGAATCTTCTGTTCATTCTTGAGTCACTTTCCACACCTGTGACTTCCCAGGACGCTTCCCCGTCATCCACGCTCCTTAGTTCCTGGTGGGTTGGCAGCCGTGTCCACTTCCGTTCCGGATCTAGACATCCCAGTCCCCCTCTCCCGGCTCAGCTTTGGCGCTTACTCTTCACATCCCCACTTCGAAAGCCCAGCTATTCTCACGTCTGGGCACACACACTTCTCCTCTGAGAAAAGGTGGAATTGTCTGTATCTCCCACTCACCTATGGGAACATTTAAGTATGCACTCTGTCTATGAATGTCTTTGAATTCTGTGAGCCACTCAAAGTGTCATTTCACGAGACGACTTCTCTAGGAAATAAAACAGGGAACGGTTCACGGGTGAAACACTGAGCCATACGAGAGGCCCCGAGGCTCCGGCGCCCGTGGGGGCTGCTCCGCAAGAACCAGCACCGGGTGCTGAGCAGCCGCTCCTTTATTTGGGCTGCAGGTGGAGCCGGTGACCCGTGGCCCGTCCAGCACAGGTTCTCGCTGCGTGGCCTTGTGAGCAGCACAGTGAGCTGTGGGGGGAGGAGCACGGGCAGGCTCGGCGCCCTCCTTCCCCTTCAGTAACTCCCTTTAAGGCGCAAACACCATCACTAGGTTCTATGGGGTCTGGCGGTAAAAGGTGAGAGAATGAGGCAGGAACACCAGGAAGTGTTTCAAATCCTTAAATGCAGCAACAGGGGAAGTGGACTCCTCTATTAGACGCCCTTTTCGCTCTTTCTTTTATAATCCGACATAAATCACGGAAGCCAACGGCAGAATTAAAGGCAGTGAGACATTTTCCGGGAGCTCACCTCACCCTGGGAATGAGGCGTCTTAACGTCGCCCAGATGTGCTAGCGCAGCTGACGCCAAGTGCGCTGGGGTTTGACGTGTGGCGTGAGGACTGAGCCGTGTGCTGTCTGCCTGACCCAAGACCACCCAGACCTGCCCTGCCGCCGCCTCTGGTGAGTGGGGAGCGGGCAACGGAGGAGCCGAGGGGCCGGTCAGGGTGGAGTGTTCCCGATGAATGAGAGCGGTGACTGCAGCTTCCTCACTCTCCCCCAGGTCCAGCTCTCGTCTCCACGGAGCCACGCCCTTCCCTCAGAGGCAGGTTCCTTCAAACGAATGAGGACCAACCACCGCACCCGGCCAACAGCTTCCCAGAGCAAGCCCCGCGCAGCCAGCACCCTGGCCGACTTCAGACCGTCCTGTGCCAGCAACAGAGAGGCTCCGCCGGCAGACAGGGGTGCTGAGCTCTGGTTCAATGAGGGAGACCCGGGTCCCTGAAGCAGCTCTTAGCCAGTCGCCAGCCGAGGTGAGGGCGCACCTGCGTTTGGGCACGTGGGCACCTTCCTGAGTCCGCACGGCTCGCCCCGCAGCCTCACGCTCAGCCAGTGAGTGTCTGCGAGGGAGCGTCGTCCAAACTGCCGGTTACTTCATGAGCCTGGACTGCAGCTCTGGCCTCTGAAACCTGGGCCTTCCACGTCGGGATGGAACGGACACCGGCTTCTCCCCCCACAGCGAGGGCAGAAACGGAGAAAACTGCAATAGAAAGGGCTGGCCAATCAGCTCACCCTCCCAGGAGCCGAGCCAGGCTGTGGGCTGGGCGTCAGGCCCAGGAACGAGGGCCCAGACAGCTCTCCCGCGGTCGGAGATGCAGCGTCGGTGGCATGAGGAACGGTCAGAGGGCCAGGCCGCCCTCCCGTCCTGCTGCTTCGTGGGTCTGAGTGAGACACGGGCTCAGCCCCCGTCGTGGGAGCCCGCAGGCTAGGACACCCCCTGTTGCACCTCAGCTGGCTGTGCCCCGTGTGGCTCTCTCTGGGGAGCCGTGCCGCACAGACCACGCGATCCTCACCCAGAGACGCTGCTCAGAGTGCCACGGCGAGGAGGACCATCCTCAGCAAGTGTGAGCGTGTTTCCCAGGCCGCTGTCGCCACGGGATGGTGCCAGTGAAGGGAGGTGGGTGGGCACGTCCGGGGACTCAACAGGTGGAGGGGGGACAAGGGGCCCCTGGGACGAGGAGACCAGGGAGGGCTGCACAGCCTGGCAGAAGCGGACTGAGGACACAGGGGAGAGGGGAGGAGGGGAGGACAGGAGAGCACTGGCCACCATGGGTGCAGGTGGGGAGAGCAAGACAGGGCCATGTGCAGGCCCAGGCCCGGCACTGAGCATGCAGGTCACGGGTCTCATGGTCAGAGGAGGCCTGAGGGACTGGCCTGGATTCCAATTACTGAGCAGGAGAGGCTGCAGGCCTCCCGGTGGACACACCAGGAACAGGTGGCATTTGGGTCTGGAGGACAGAGTTAGAGCATTTGGCAAAGGCTGAGGGACAGCAGAGAAACAGGGCTGGGAGCACAGAGGCAGCAGAGGAGCGAGCAAAGACCAAGCTACGGCAGGAAGCCACCCCGGCGGCCCACGGCCAGGACAGAGACTTCGACTTCAGGGGTCTCCAGAGCGCAGGGCACGGGCTCAGCAAGCTTCCCAGAGTGCAGCCAGCGCAGGAGCCACGGACTCGGACACAGAGGACACGTGTCTACTACGCACAGGAGGAACAGGCCAACAGTGATAGCCATGTCCCCCGAGGGGTACACACGGGTCTGAGAGGAGCAAACACTTGGGGTGGAGAGGGACCTCGGACGCGCCTCATGCTCAGCCGCCACATCAGACACGACTGGCCTGTGTTCCCGGCTGGCGTCTGCCCCGCCGGTGCCTGCGAGCTCTCCAGGCCGTTTCCACGGAGAATGCCGGGCACATTTCAATAATGTGGAACTCAAGGGCCCAGGTCAAGAGGTAGACAGGCAGGGAAAACTGGCCAAGGAGATGTGGCAGCAAAAATCTTTCCCATCAACGTAATTTCTAAGGACCGAGTTTAATCAAAATGAGTTTTGGTTCCTTATTTTAAGATTTCAAATCCAAACCATGAGGAAAGAGCACCTATTTTCCAATCACGGGTTGGCTGCATTGGAAGGAATTTAAAGGACCTTCCCTGACAGGTGGAGGGAGACTGGCAGGAGGTTCACAGGGGCGAGTCCTGTCTCCCGAGGCCACAGGAGAGCTGGGCAGGAGCGCCCTGTGGGGCAGGACTGGGTCCCACCTTCACAGCCAAGGGCAGGGCAGCGCGCGGGGGGCTGCTGGGCCTCTGCTGCTCTTGGGCGCCCAGGACCCACCTCTCCCCGTCCCTCCTCCTGCCCCCTCAGAGGATAGCCCTCCCCCCCCCCAAGGGGTCCTGGCAGGACCTGTGGTCACCGGCAGGACAAGCTTGATGCACTTTCCAACATTTACTAGACAAGGACGACCAATGTGGCGCAGACACTGCCCCTGCCCTGCACGGACAGGACCCGCCCGAGCGAGCGAGCAGCCCGCAGAGCAGCGTCCGCGGTTCCGCGTGCACACAGCACACGCGCGATAATGTTCTCCGAGTCACAGCTTCAAACGTAAGGAGCAGAATGAAACCAATATTCCCAGATACTCGCAACTGGATGCTCCCTGTCTTTACACCTTCTACTGAATCACCTCCCTCTGCACCTTAACACAAGCCCATGCACTCTGTTTGGCTGATGTGCAGCCGCTGTCATTTCCTCTTAATCTTTTCTCCCAATCGGGCCAGTTCCTTGAGCTGGGGTCCCCCCTCTCCCCTTCCCGCCCTGGTCCTGCACGTGTGTCCACCTCAGTGCCACTGACTGGCTCGGGGCTCCCAGAGCTGCCCGGTCCAGCCACGCTCTGTCCAGCAGCACCGCGTGCAGAGCCCTTTGCGCCTAAGGAGACACCGAGGCCTTCCTTCCTCAGGCTGGTCTCCCTGCCCGCCATCACAACCGGCCCGTGGTCTTAAACAGCATAAAACTCACCACAACAAGTCTGACAGACACAGAAGAGGAGGGGAGACCTGTGGGGAGAGGCAGTACCTGAGGGGCGGACGGGCTGAAGGCCACCCCGCTGACCGTGTCCGTGTGCCCCGGCAGCCTGTGGGAGAAGGTGCTGGAGCCCGCCTCGTACAGGTACGCCTGGAAGACAAGGCCGCAGGTGTTCGGTGGGGAGAGCCCGCCATCAGCGAACGAGGAGGCGAAGGTGAGGGGGTTTCTATCGCACGCAGCAGCCTTGCCCCAGACCCCACTGTGGGCCGTTGTCAAGACAGGCTGTTTGGGGTGATCTTAAGGGTGTCAGGCTCTGTACCCCAGCCTCTCAACAGGTGGTGCCTGGTCCCAATTCAGCGCCAACGGGAACCGCCAACCAGGGGTGCGGAGAAGGACGGACGCTGTGTCCAGCAAGCAGCTCAGCGGCGGCCAGCAGGGGTGCCAACAGCGGTCGGCGGGGAGGAGCCCAGGCCCCAGCTCAGGGAGGCCGGGCCCCTCAGATCCCCCCACCAAGCCCACAGGGGCTTCCAAACTGCCCTGGCTGCCAAAGGTGGGTCATCTCTCGTTTTGACCCAATGACAACGTCCTCACTTCTGGAGGCTCCTCAGGGCCCCAGGCTACACAGACACGGAGACTGGCGCCTCTGTGGCATCTGCTGCTTCTGGTTATAAAGTACAGCGGTTAGTCACAGCAGCAGACACGTGCTGAGCACCAACTTCTATGTCACTGCCTCGCCTCATCCATCTACAGCCCGATGGAGAAACGGCATTATTGCCCCAATTCCACAGGCCAGGAGGCCAGGGCTAGGGGCCAGCAGCCTGCTCGGGCACAGGGCCGTGCTCTGAGAGGAGGTGCCGCAGGGACAGCTCCTGTGGCTCTGGGGTGTCCTCATACGAGAGAGGAGAGTGAGATTTGAGACCCACAAGGAAGGGGCAGGATGAGGATGGGCAGGGCCTGGAGAAAAGCGCAGGCCAACGTGGGCCAGACCCTCCTTAGGGCCTCCAGGAGGGGGAGTGGAGGGGGACCGATCCTCCCAGCACCTGAGTGAGACCCAGGGCCTCTAGGCTGCAGGGACCACGGTCTGTTGCTTGAAGCTGCTGAGTTTGGGGTAATTTGTTACCACATCCCTAAGACACTACACAGACCTTCCTAAATACGTTAAAGACAAACAAACATAAATTAGTATTTGTTCCAAATCCATCCTAAGGTATGTGTCACTTTATTTATTAACCAGAGGCCCGGTGCACAGATTTGTGCACTAGTGGGATCCCTCGGCCTGGCCTGAGCCCTCTTGCAATCCGGGACCCCTTGGGGGATGCCGGACTGCTGGCTTCGGCCCGATTTCCACAGGCCGGGCTGAGGGACCCCACTGGTGCATGAATCTGTGCACCAGACCTCTAGTGTGCATATAAGATCTTTGGTTAATCTCTTCCCACCCTCCCCCCTTTCCCCTTCCCTCTGAGATTCGTCAGTCTGTTCAATGTTTCCATGCCTGTGCGTTGAGCGTCTGCCACCTGGTGGTCAGTGCATGTCATAGCTACCGGTAAAATGGTCACTTAGGCTTTTATATATACAGATGTTACTATCTGGGAGGTCAAAGAAAACACAGCATGTCACACACAGTAAGTCACTGAGTGAGGAAGGAACAAACAAGCAACGGTGTTTTAAGTTCCCTGCTTCACGAAAAATACCAGGACGACCTCTCGCACCTCACGCCACTGCTCTTACACTCGTGACAGCCTCCAGCGTCAGCCTGCTTCACCCTGCTGAGCACCCATGCCGCCCTCTCCACGGGCACGTCCAGCCCCCGGACTGAGACCAGCACGTACGTGTCTGTCCTCCGCGCCACACGCCACGAAACGCCCGCAGGGGCTGAAGGCAATCCCACACGGGAAGCAGCGGGTCGGGTGTCCTTCGAAACGGCGCTCACACCTGTGAGGAAAATAAAAGCAACACCAGGAGAAAAAATGATTTTTTTCATTTTTAACCCAACCTAGGATATTGACCTGTTTCACAAACATGAACAAACTGATAAGAACATTTTTATTTGTGAAGGTGACTGAACACTGAGACCCTCAACAGTAACTAAAAGACTTCTAAACCATAAAGTCTCAAAGATCCAAACTAACGATAATCCAACTTTTATACATGAAGACTATCAAGTGATAAATATATTCTGGAGATCTTTAAAAATATAAAAACCTACTTTTAAAATCATAAATTATTTAAATCAATAATTCAAAGGCTGTTGGAAGGTGCAACATTCTATCAAGGCTGGTTAAGTTTTACAACCAACTGTTAAAGAGCTACCTAAGATTTGTTTATTTTAAAAAAACAAAACAAAAAACCCAAAAGCACAAGAGCAGTCCCACCAGCATGGCTCAGGGGTTGAGTGTCGACCTCTGAACCAGGAGGTCACGGTTTGATTCCTGGTCAGGGCACATGCCCAGGTTGCAGGCTCAATCTCCAGTGTGGGGCGTGCAGGAAGCAGCCGATCAGTGATTCTCTCTCATCACTGATGTTTCTCTCTCTCTCCCCCTCTCCCTTCCTCTCTGAAATCAATAGAAATATGTTTTTTAAAAAAATTAAAACAAAAGTAAGGGAAATGGAGCTGGGTTTATCGAAAAAAATCGCCACCACCTTTTGGGGCAGCCAGAACCAACACCCAGAGGAAAGACCAGAGCTGTGGTTTTTCCACATTTTGTAACCGATTCTGGGTATAAATCACTTTTCTGAGAAGGGTCAGTGTGAACAGACTTTCCAACCTGGTCCCTCTGAGTTCACAGCATGTGCTTCAATAGACACACGCCCTGTGGTCCTGGTCTCCCCCTAGTCCCCCTGCACACCTGCCCCCCGCACACCTCCCGCCATCTATCCCGCCCCACACCTGCCCCTGCACAGGACGACGGCCTCACCTCAGGGTTCTCAGGTCCCACAGCCGGACCCCGTCACCCACGGCGGTGGTTGCGAAAAGATTATAGTCCTGAGGTGGCTGGGTCGTGAATGACGATCCCTATGGTGCAAGGGGAGGGCAGGTGCATCTTGAGACGGAGCTGGTCACCATCACGCTGCCGACAGCTGACAAGATCGCAGCCAAGGTCATCACCAGAATCCACAGCTTTGTCCTTACTTACAACAATGTCATAACTGGATTCCAAAGCTCCCATGTGGACAATCACCAGTGGTGCACTCTGACCTTAAGCTCAGGGGCGTGCGTGTCCCCCGAAAGCCCAGGAGAGAGGTCACAGGGCTGAGGTGTTAGCTCTCCAGGGTGCGTTTGAGCACAGGTCACCATCCGTGTTCGACCACCTGCGATCACAGGCCCTAGCGCCTGGTGAGGACTCAGGGACGTCTGCATGCGTCCCCTGTGTGCTGGTCGCCGAGGCCCTGCCTCTGGCCCGGTCACTGCCCGGGAAAACCTCCCTGTGGCCCGAGCCCTCGGCGCCATCCAGCCAGGGCAGCAGCCGAGGGAGCGCCCTCCCGCGCACACCAGCTCTCAGATGTGCTGTGCAAGGACCCAGAAAGGCACCAAGGCCTGGATGACAGCCTGTGACCTGCACAGACTCCATGCACAAACACGGGGAGGTTCGGGGTCACGGCCGGATTTCAGGGTACACATTCACTAAACGGGAACACGCCGATGCACCAAAGGCAGAACTGCGGCTGCAGGCCAGGTGGAGTTGGCACTAGGCTCCCGGCGCTGCTCTGAGTAACAATGTGTCCTTTGAGCCGGAGCCCTGCTGTGGGCGTGTCGAAACCACCAGCCCGTCCTGATAGGAGCTGCTGGCCCGGTGGCTGCCCCGCGCTCCGAGGTGCCTGCATGGCCGTCACTCCACCGTCAGGGCTGCCCGGCCCTCCCCAGGCTTCCAAAGAGGCCCGTGCAACCCTCACAGCCCAACGCACCAATATTCACCCCTGATGACGTGAAAATGCCTCCAGCGCCCCACATCCAGGCTCAGAACGACTTCCTGATCGACAGGAACTCGCCTTGGATTTGGTGGGAGACATGCAAGTGCATCTCACAATGGCATCAGTGACGGCCTTGGACGTGGCATTTCACAAACGATGTGCAGGCCCAACCTCACTCACCTGGTTCTGGCAGATCTGGTGGGGGGGCCGGGAATGGACTCCCTGGATCACGGCGGCACTGCGGCCCACATTGAGGTCGAAAACTTCCACTGTCCTGCTCCGGCTGGCGGCCAGCACCAGGTCTGGGCTCTGTTAGGGAACGCCTAAGTCCACAGACGGGGGGTCTCAGTCCGCTCCCCACGCGGGCCTTGCCTCTCTAAGCGGGGGTGGGAGGTGGGGGTGGGGGGCGGAGGACAAAGGGGAGGCCCGGGCAGAGCAGATTTCAAGGTGAAAGACCAAGTTCCACCAGGAGATAAATGAGGGTCGAGGCGCCTGGGAAATACGCCAATCGGAGATGCTCAGGGGCGCGGACGCGTGTGCAGGAGGAGGGGCTGGCTCGGAGCCGGTCTGAGGCTGGGCAGTGGCCACGTCCAGGACACATCACAGGTGAGTGTGATCGGCTCCGTGGGCTCTGAGGGGTCACGTGACCCTATGACCTACCCAACTGCCAGTGCTTAGCCAGAACGGCAGGACAATCTACCCAAATCCTGAGACGTGCACATCGGAGAAAGGGCACGGGGTTTGATCATGGGCCCACGCGGACAGCAGAGCAGAGCCTTCACGTGGGGAACCGCAGGTGCAACAGCGCACTTCGCAGGAGGCTGTTTGTTCTGTTTTTAGCAAAAGGTTCTAGACTAAAAATAACGCATATTAACAGAATATTCTAGAACCTTCTAATACCAAAGCCAGTCCTTATGAAATTTCAGCTACAGAACTCTTCAAAAGAATTCAAATGAGGCCTCTGAGTAAATTAAAATGTTACAAAATAGATTCCTGAAGATTTTGATTTTTGCTTCCAAGTAATTTTAAATAGATGCGTTTTAATGGAAAGGGCTGATGTTAGCCCTAAAGACTAAAATAAGTACAGCTTTGGGCTCTGTGTATGTCCCACTGAAGTGCAGCTGTTTCGAGGCCACTGGGGTGGGTCTGGCCCTGCACTAGGTCATGCGGTCCCAGACGCGGAGCCGACACCACGTGTGCCGCTGCCGGTCAGAGGCGCCGCCGCGTCCCCTTTCTATCCCTTAGGGCCCCTCACTGCTGAGATGAGCTGTCACATTGTTCAGAATCGGTTCACCGGAGTCTGGGCTCCGCAGTGGACGCGGGGAGGAGCTGAGACACTCAGCTGTGTGCGGAGGCCGGGCTCCAGCCGCAGCCCTCGGGACAGGAGAAAGGATACGGGAATAAAACTCGTTGGCGGCGGACAGGCCGGTGATCTCCGCGGCCCCAGTCGTGGTGAGCCGGAACACACGGGCGCACCGGCTCCTCTGTTTG